CTAGGAAACTAGAAGCACAGTGATATATTCCAATTTAACCATCACTCATCTAACTTATCCCATATTTCAGTCCAAGATCACAAGTGCACGACACCTAAATATATGCATTTAAGAACAAAAAAGAAACCAAATTGGAGCAATCAAAATTGAACAGCGGGCAGTGTACCTTCTGTTTTGAAACCAAACTTTGATCTGCTTAGGCTCGATATTCGACAGAATAGGGCATTCGCGGATCAATTGCTGGCGGCGCAACGAGCTAGGTTTAGGGCACTCTGCATAAACCCTCTCTAATGCCTCCACTTGCTCAGCTGTATACCGGACATACTTTCCACTACTGTCAAGATGTTTTGTAATACTACCACTACTACTCTCCCTATGCTGCTGTACCACCATAGCCATTTGCCCTCAAACCCCAAAATCCCAAACAAAAAAATAATCAAGATTTCCAAATTTTCAAACACCCTTAAAAGAAATAAAAACACCCCCAAGTAGATATATTCCCTGCAAACAGCTTTTATTATATATATCAACACAGAGAACTAAGATTCTCTGAAACAAAGACTTTATCTTTATCTTTCCTTTTTCTTTTTCTAGTGATCTCAGACAAGATTAAATGAACGATCTTGATTGAGCCAGAAGATTCCTAGGTGCCCCTTTTGTTGTTTCTATACTTTGTGCCCCTTATAACAGAAGGCTCAAACACACACTTCACGCTTAAACCCTTACAAATTAAGGTACAGCCAAAACTGCTCTAACGAAAGATATGGCTGAAAAGGATATAAATACAGACAAAAATTCTCTCTCTTTCAAATTCACATAAGCTGTAAACTACTCGTGTTTGATACAAACACAACACCATTTCCATTCACATAAAGCTCCAAACTTTATCATCATTTAAGCTTTTATTTTTTTTTAAAAACCATCAACTTTTTACCTCAGCCCTCTGTTTTTTTTCAATTCTTTGGAATCTTTAACCCCTTTTTTTACCTCTATGTAATTAATTCTCCAGCTGTGTTTAATACAGAGAACAAATGACACGTTGAGAGAGGCCTGAATCTTCGCGTTTAAGGCCAAAAAAGAGAGAACTTTTACCCAAATATTACTGAAAAAGATGGCACCTTCTTAAAGTAGACAAACAAATCACCACAACCCCTTCAGTATATACATAAAACAGCCAGCTTTGAGATTACAAAAACAAGAATTACCCCCCACAAAAAGTAGGAGAAAAGAAAGCAAAAATTTGCTCTGTTTTCTTGAGCTTCAAAATATTAGAAGAAGCATAACACTCCCGCCCTTAAGATCTGAAACTGAAACAAACTCTAAAAGACATGTTGGAACAGCAAAAAGATTGAATTTTTTAGAGAGAGGAGTGATGTTTTTTTAGTGTGTAAGGTGAGGTGAAGAGGTGTGTGAGAGTGGTGGGTGAGAAAAGAGAAAAAGAAAATGGAGAGAGAGAGAGAGAGAGAGAGAGAGAGAGAGAGAGAATTTGCTTGAGTTAAAGCTTTATGAGCTCGCAAATCGAAAATGCCAGTGTTTTTATGCTGCTGTTGTTGCTCTTGCCTTTGTGTTTTTCTGTTTTCTTTTATGTCCTTTCTCTTCAACTATTTAATTGAAATTATAATGTACGAATATAAAATATTCAGTAATCCGATAGAGTATAATAATACAACTTCTTTTTCTTTTTCTTTTTAATAAAATATGTGATCACCGCTGTTTGGATTATTTTTTCTAGCTATAAACATAAAAGGAAAAGTTCAAAGGACATCTTTGTCCAAATATGGTCAATATTGTCTAGATGAAATTTCTTAACTTGATCTACATTATATAAAAGGAGATTTAGAATTTCAATTTTGTGGTTGGACTACCACTAAATTTTAATGACCATTTGAGTTACTAGATTAGAATTTAATATTTGTACATCTGATACTAAAAATATTGAATTTGACTGAATTCATACCTTATGTCGCATATCTGCCCTGAAATCACAGGACATCTTTGTTCTTATATGATCTTTGTTTAGTTGAATCTAAATTATGCAAAAGTATATTTAAAGTTCGAATTTTGTGGATAGTAATAACGCTGAATTCAATGATAATTGGATATTTGAACATATTATTGTATTTGATTGAATTCATAATTCATGTATCCTATATCTGCCCTTGAAATTATAGGACATTTTTATTCTATATATGGTTACTATTATCAAGAAGATTTTTTTTAACTCAGAGCTAAACTCTAAGGAAAAAGAAGTTAAAAGAGAACTCTACTGGTGGTACTCATGGTTTTTTCTGTGATAACCCGACAGGTCGATTTGCGTGTTAAGTTCATACTTCCCGAAGGCTTATATGTGAAAAATTAATTAAAATGTGAATTCGTGCTTTAAAATTCATTTGAATTGATTTCGGCCAATATTTTAAGGAAACAGAACCGGATTCGTATTTTGACGATCCCGATAGTTTGTATCGTGATTTGGGACTTGAGCGTATGCCCGGAATTGAATTCGGATATCCCTAGCTCGAGTTATCGCAATTTGTCGAGAATTTGAAATTTAAAGGTTTAAAGACTTTATAAATTTGACCGATGTTTGACTTTGTTGATACCGGGTCCGGATCTTAGTTCCGAAACTTGGTATATGTTCATTACTATATTTATGACTTGTCTGTAAAATTTGGTGCAAAACGGAAATGATTTGACGTGATTCGGACGTCCGATTGAAAAATTGAATGTTCTTAAGCTTTATTGAAAATTTCATTCGATTTGGTGTTTGATTCGTAGTTCTAAGTATTATTTGGAGCTTTGATCGTGCGAGCGAGTTCGTATAATATTTTTGTACTTGCGTGCATATTTGGTTTGGAGCCCCTAGGGCTTGGGTGAATTTTGGATAGCCTACGGACCATTTGAACTTAGAAAAATATGGGTTTCGAGGTTCAGCTGTCATCTAGTGTATTGTGCTTCGAGACAGCGAAGCCTTTCTCGCGGTCGCGAAAGGGAATCTGGGATTGGGGAGGATTTTATTCTACCCGAACGCGAGACCTTGGTTGCCAACGCGGAGCACTGGGGGGTCTGCTCTTCGCGAACGCGTAGTGTTAGATAGGCTGGGCTAGGAGTTGAGGTTACTCTATGCGAAAGCGAACCTAGGCTCGCGAATGCGGAGGAGAGGCAGGCTAAACCTTCACGAACGTGTGGAGATACTCGCGATCGTATAAGCCAGTTAGGCAATGCTCTCCGCGAACGCGTCAAGTTTCACGCGATCGTGATGAACACCTGACGCCCAGTGATTTAAATGTTTCAAAAACAGGATTTCACCCTTTTTCATAAAACTCTCCATTAGAGCTCGGCCTAGATGCAATTTTGAATGGAAAACCCAATACCAATTCATAGGTTTGTACACTTTAACTCATTTTCTTCAATTTGTAACATCGCCCATTAATTTCTAGCCCTAAACTTTGTTCTTCCATAGTAGAAAACTAGGGATTTAGGAAGAATTTTGGATTTTTGCAAATACGGGATTTAGACCTTAATTTGAGTTCGAATTTCAAAATTAATTACATAATCGGACTCGGGGTGAATGGATAAATGAGTTTTGGTCGGACTCTCGGATTTTGACTAAGCGAGCTCGAGGTTGACTTTTTTTTACTTTTGGGAAAAGGTGTAAAAATCCTTTCTTTATGTAATGTAATTGATTTTCTTAACATTATTTGACGTTATCGAGTCGATTGTGGTTAGATACGAGTGGGTTGGAGGCGGATTCTAGAGGAAATGCCTCGATAGAGCTCTGAGTGGACTATGAAGTGGGTAAGTGTCGTCGCTAACCTTGACTTGAGTGATTAGGACTTGTTTGCCTATTTGCTATATGTTTAAATGTTTGGGTATAACATATAAGTGAGGTGACGAGTACTTATGTGTTATTATTGGGTTAAAACATGCGAGTGATACTTGCTGCTTGTAATTTATTGCCTTCTTTACTCATGATGTCCATGCTTAGATTAGTTTATTTCTTATTTGATTGTTCTCCCTGCATTTATGAATTAAGTTGTGATAGTTGAGTATTTCTTTGAAATTGAGGATTTGTGTTTCGAAATCATTATTGACGTAAGGTTTATTCTTGTTTATTTTTATATTCATTACTACATGGTAAGGGAGAGTGTTAAAGCACGAAGGGTGATGTCGTGTTATTATTTGTTTCAATTACTGATTAATACATGGTGAGAAAGAGAGTTAAAGCACGAAGAGTGATGTCGTGCCGTATTTATTGTTCATGGAGAGATTGAGAGTAAAAACACGAAGGGTGATGTCGTGCTATTATTATTATTTCATGGCAAGGTTGAGAGTAAAAGCACGATGGGCAATGTTGTGCCATCTTTATTCATCATGTTTATCCCTTTTCTTGGTTGATGATTTATTTGACTGTCTTATGTTGTTATTTATGTTGTAATTATCGTATCTTGTTCCCCGTTTGCATGTCCCCTCCCAATTTCATAGATTAATTCTTTATTGTTACTATATTGTGTATATGTCTTAGTTCGTACATGTTGAATTACGTGAGTGTCCTGTTATAGCCTCGTCACTACCTCGTTGAGGTTAGGCTCGACACTTATGGACATTGGGTCGGTTGTACTCATACTACTCTAAACTTCTTGTGCAGATTTTAGAACTAGTCCCAGCACTACGTGAGCTGTATCGGCTCGGATTGACATACTCGGAGACTCGGGGTAGATCTGATGGCGTCCGCAGACCTTGAAGTCCGCTTCCTCTTTCCTTAGTTACTGTTCATTTTATTCGAGACGATTACATTTATTGCAGACTCTGTTTGTAGAATTTCTAGTAGCTCATGTACTTGTAACTCCAGGTCCGGATTGTACTTAAATATTTTGGGTTATTATGTCACCTCACACTTCTTTTTAGTTTCATTTCAGTTTAAATGAGTTTAATTACTTGAGTTGTTGAAATAACATATAATTTACTCAAACGTTGACTTGCCTAGCAAGTAAAATGTTAGATACCGTCACGATCCCGAAGGTGAGAATTTCGGGTCGTGACATTTTCCTTCTCTATCCTTTATTTTTAGAATTTAAAAACAATTACCATTTTGTTAAGAAGTTATTCAAACTAAATGTACGTAAATGAATTTCCGTAATCCCTAGAACAAGCTGCTTGAATATTCACCAATTAGAGGACTAAAGCCAATGTTCTTAAGTTAAAGCGAGTAAAGTTAAATTGTTTGGGCATGTATTGATATAAATTGAAAGGGATTATCAGGTAGATTGTGAAATGTGATTCATAATTTGATAAGTTGGCACATTCGCAAACATCTCTTTTGTTTTGAGATATATTCATAACTATGAAGTATCAATATAAAGTTATTTATTTTGTGTTTTAATAGTAACAAATATCTTGTAAAATTAGTAAAGGTGTAATAAATTGATTTAGCAATTTAATTATTAAAAAATAAAAAAATTAATTTTACCCATTCGGCGCATTTACGAGCTAGTCCAATGTACAGTGTATGAAATGACGTATAAGACCCACGCCATGTACTGTAAATATAAATGCTTTGGTCAAATCATACAGAAGAAAATCTTTTCTTCTGCCAATACCTATGGCTACTGTGTCCCTTTGTGGTCTATACTCTGTCTCTCTGACTATTAGGGTTTTACCCCTCTACTCTACTCTCTGCAAAAAGATTTATTACTTTTAATATTTTTTCTTCTTCTTTTATTTTTATATAAGTAAGAGGGTGTTTGAACCTGTTTTTTCAACAACATACTCAATATTATCCCACGTCGTCAGATTTGAGGAGGATAGTATTTACGCAAATCTTATTCCTATCTTGTAAATGTAGAGAGGTTGTTTTCAATATATCCTCGGCTCAAAAAAATATAAGCACCACATTAATTAAAAAGATAGATAATGCGGGACAACACCAAAAAGTCACGTAATATTTGAACTGGCTTCTAAGCTAATCAAATCAGTTTTAAGCTTTTTTAAAACTTTTTTTCAGTGTTTGATAGAGATGAAATACTTAAAAAAAAATTTAAAAATACTTAAAAAAAATCAAAAACAATAAATTAGACAAGCCCGACTTTTTAGCTTAAAAGTTATTTATGCTAAAAATTCACTTCTTTTTTCAAGTCAATGCAAACGATCTCTAAATCTTTGTTTTTGGTCCTCACAGTCTACCTTTTTTCCTCATCTCACAAATGAAGAAAAAAAGTAGACTAAATCTTTTTGTTGTGGATCCCCCTATAAGATATACTCACACTAGTCATCTAATATTTGTGTCAGTATTAGGATTAATTTCTTGAATCTTTGCCCCTGCTCCGGTCTAGGAAATGGAACATTTTGAACATGACTAGCAAATTACCTACATGACTAAATTGTTATACTAGTCTTTTAACCGTTCTATTGTTACCCTAAAATTTAGCTCCCATTTAGTTTACTTCTTTCAAAAAAAAAAAAAAAAATTAAAACAGTTGTTTGTTCAAAAAATATGATCAATTTTTGAAAAAAAAATTTACTT